TTTATAGTCGTATTGTCCATTGCCAGAGTCACATTTCAACAAAGAAGATTTTCTCAAAAATGTTCCATTTTATTATTTGTTTTGAATTTCGTAAGGATATGAATTCAATCGATATTCATGTAATTTTTTGAATATAAACTTGATAATAATGCTGCAAAAGCTGCACGCAATATATTATAAATCAGGCATTTAGGGAGAATACTATTAACGATCGAAAAGTGCAGCGTTGGTTTGAAAAATTTCGGTCTGGTGATTTTTCCCTATAAAATGAATCGCGTGGAAGACCCAAAACGTCTGTGAAAAATGATGCTCTGAAAGCATTGGTGGAAACGAATCCAACTGTATCTACAAGGGAACTTGCTACCAGAATGAAAGTTGATCATACAACGATATTGCGACACCTTTCTGAAATTGGCAAGGTGAAAAAAATGAATAAATGGGTATCGCACGAATTAACCGAGCGAAATAAGCTGGATCGATTGAATGTATGCTCATCATTACTAACCCGATTTCATCGAGAGCCATTTTTCAATCGGATTATTACTTGTGATGAAAAATGGGTTCTTTACGACAATAGGAAAAGGTGTGCTCGGTGATTTGATAGGAATGAGGCTTGTGCTCGTACTCCAAGGCCATCACTTCATCCACGGAAAATTTTAATAACAGTTTGGTGGAATGTGACTGAAGTAATTCATTACTCATTCCTTCGAACTGAGGAGACAATTATAGCCGAAAAGTACTGCCAGTACATTGATGAAATGCATGAAAAATTGAAAATTATACGCCCACTTGTTAATCGGCATGGCCCAATACTTCTCCACGACAACGCTCGGCCGCATATGTCGTACAAAACAATTGCGAAATTAAATGAATTAAAATATGAAATTTTGCAGCACCCAACTTATTCACCGGATCTTTCGCCAACCGACTTTCATTTTTTTAAACATTTAGAACAGTTTTTACGAGCTAAACAGTATGAAAATGAAGACTGAAAAATTCCAGAATATCAGAGTTTATTGATTCTAAAGATCAGAATTTTTTTAAGACAGGCATCTATGCATTAAAATCTCGTTGGGAAAAGTGTATTGAAACAAATGGAGCATATTTTGATTAAATAAACAGCTTTTGAAAAAAGATATGCAGTTTTATATATTACTTAAAAATCCGACATTTCATATGCACCAACCTAATATTTTGTAAAAACTGAACAAAAATAAAATGTAAATAGAAAATTTAAATCACTTAAATTGATTTTTTAACGAATTTTATTTCTAAACGATGTATGTTTACGCGAGAATTGTGTGTGCAGAATGCTCGCACATATGGTATTGTTTATGTTGGTTTGTTCGATGCGCGATGTCGACTCGTGGTCTTTCTACGTATCTATATGTCATAATTATAAATCCACTAACATTCAGTGTTCGTGGATCATCGAAATTGCAGTTCCTGTACGATTGCAGAGGTTAAACATCGTTGAATAGTGTGCAAGATTGGATAGGTTAGGAAAATAAGGAAATTAACCCTCAGACGAGCGGAAAACATTTTCGTTTTAATTATAACTTTGTGTGTTTTTTGGAATATGATATTAATCAATAATACTTATTTTAAAAAAGAATAATTAAAGTTGGGTTCTTGAAATAGTCGATTACTTTGATTTTCGACTACTTGATTTGTATTAAGGAAGTTGTATTATATAAGAAAATCAAAACGTCTCGAATTATCAAGATTATTAATATTTATCAAGAAGTTGTATTATACAAGACTGCTGAAGATAACTTGAATTAAGCCGAAATGTTCGGTGTTTATTATATAATACATATGTAAAATTGAGAAATATGTGTTGATATAATCGGTCCAATTACTGCGAATTTAGGCTCTTAATTATTCGTTTTTTCATTTATTGTTTATACTTATTTTAATAATAAAATTGAATTAATTAATATAACAAAGATTTTTTATGTCTCACAGATATTATAATTCAACGGACATTAAACATTTCTGCAACATCTCTTCAACATCTAATTTCGCGATGTTACTGCAATGTTCGCAATGTTCCAAATCAACATTTCTGAGATATTGATTCAATTTAGTGTGCTGTATGGGAAAACTGCGCACTGCCACAGCGCCAATTCCCAATTATCTGTTATTCGATTTTTCTTTTTGAATTTTTTATTTTATAAAGTACCTATTACGCGTAGACGAGATACAGATTACTAAAGCCATCTATTGGAAAAATAATGGATTTCTTTTTACTACATCTAATATTTATATTTAATTGGACATTGCTTTGTTAATATTATATTAAAAAATCTCAAACATTACGAATGGTCAAACTTATTACTACTTATATTAGGTGCGCAACTAAGTTCTCGCTGTTATTTTGATGAAAATGCAACTTTATTGTGAAAAAATGGTTACAAATGAATCATTGAAAGTATTGCCCATCGCTAGCTACTACTTTTTCCCATCTTTCTGGCAGAGCTCGTATACCATCACGATAAAACTGTTCACTTACTGCTGGAGCCATCTGTTGACAAACAGCACATATTCTGTTACATATTCTGTTTGCGAAATTTTTATATTTTCGTATTCCTGTATGCAATAAACATTTATTTTGTAAAATTGATTTTTTTTTTTAAGCAGTGAAAATCTAAAGTTCATGTTCTCAAAAATATTTATCACAGTGATCTATAAATATTCTGGAGTGATCTGAAGAAATAATACTTTATGTACTCGTATAAAATAATCTTATATGAGCAAAGTAAATTTAGAAAAATTTCGGGTAATCTCAGAAAATATGACGTAATTTTAAATACCGCCATCTAGTGTCAGACGGTGCAACCGTACATTTTTTCTCTTGTCGATGACGTTTAATAAAATCAAAGATTTTGCATCGCAATATCTTTGCTCGTAGGGCATGTAAAGAAAAAATAAAAACACTTCCATTATATATTTTGAGTAGATGCAATCGATTGAGCGCACTTAGAACCTGATCAGTTCAGGCCTTATTGAGATCCAATAATTTCTGACAACTCGTCGGCTCGAAAGTAGTCACGGCAGTGTCGGTGCGCATAGCTTAGCGCTGAGACACTATCAGTGTCTTCAGATACTCTAAGGTAATCTTGGGTAATATGAGATAATGTTTGATAATCTGGAATAATTCGAGGTAGTATTAGGTAATTTTAAGTAATCCGATTTAAAAGTAATCCGTATTAAAGTTTTTTGTACACTATAATCGCTCGTGTGTGACCAACCCCCCGATTTTTTTTAATTATTCAGACTCTTCTGATATCAATTAAATAATTTAATAATAAACTTAATAATTTGATTGATTATCATATCTACGAAAAAGTTAAACTTTTAAAATTAAATGGCTATCGTGTCTATTTACTTAATCACACACTAAAAAAATTAGCAAAAAAATATTTCGTGAAAAAAAGGCAAGTTTTTGTATATACAGGTATCATAAGCAAACTGGAACATCTCAGTGAGTCGAATGTTGATGCTTTCTGGTTATCTCCGATTTATCCTAGCCCGATGATTGATTTTGGTTACGATATTTCCGATTTCGTCAGTATCGACAAAATGTTTGGCACTATGAAGGATTTTGAGGTACTCGTACAAGCCACGCATGCTGCATCAATGAAGATCATTATGGATTTTGTTCCTAATCATTCGTCGGATCAGCACGAATGGTTCCAAAAAAGTTTACAAAACATAAAACCTTATACTAACTATTACATATGGCATAAAGGCAAGGTGCTACCAAACGGAACAGTTACAGTGCCGAATAATTGGGTAAGTAATTGGGTAACTCGAAGCTACATGTAACATGACTGAGGAGACAGCGGAGACTGAGGCGAGAAATGTGAATGGCCATTGTTAAAGTCGGTAAATTAATCCAAGGCTGAATACGCGAGCGCGCACGCGATGTTCAAATTTCATGTATCCTCTTTCGTGTTCTCTGATGAGATTAAGCATAGCTTTTATTATTAATTTCCTATCTCGTAGTGTGATATAAAAACGATGCTTAAGGATTCGAAAGCAATCTGTATTATCGACTAAATCATATAATTTTTGTATAACAATTATTTTTTTCCTCTTTTACAGAATTGAAAATCCTTTTTCAGGATTAAAGTATACGCGTCAGGAAAGTGGAGTTTATGCTGAGAACATAAAAAATTAAAAAATTAAGATCTTTACTATTTCTTAATCCAATGTAACGCTCTAGAACAAATGTTGTCACATTGTGACATTTGCTTCATACAAAAGCTGTACAATCTATATTTATATACTAATCCACAAACTAGTTAGTCTGCACAAAGAAACAACATAGAATTGGACTTAGACGTGTAATTAAAATGTTGTTGTTATACGAAAATTTATGTATATGCGTGAGATAGTGATGTACGCCCGGTCATAGAAAGGTTGCAACATTTTTCGATGGGTTTCAGAATGCAGCCTACTCAGAGCGATTCTTATTTATCGATCTATAAGTAGGAATCAATGAGCAAGCTGCATTCCGTAAAAAAGTGTTGCAACCTTTCTGCGACCAATTGTACTATGTATACACATACTATGTATAGTGATATATCAGTGACATGTAAATCGTCTGTGTGTAAGTCCTACTTACACTATGATCAATTGTCTTTAGAACCCCTTAATATTAAAGAATATTTGAGCCAAGTTTGTAATCTTACCTAACATTCAAATATCGTATAATGTGCTTATTAACTGTCTTAAGCCGGCCACATACGTTGAAACAAACTTGTCATGTATGCTTGTACAAATTACATGAACGTGTGTAGTGCCTTGCGACAATTGTACAGTTCTGTCATCAACACGTTCCAATAAATTTGCACAAACATGCTTGTACAAGCATACACTCGTCAGCAGAAAAGTTACAACACATTTTTTTTTAATAAGTTTTGGGACTCACAATCAGCGTTGTTCATATAAGACAGTTGTACGTAAAAAGGATCATTGGCCGTAATTTTGTTAACTGTGCCTTAATCTGTAAGAATTGATTAATCATGAGTGCAAAGTCGAGTATAAACGGAATAATTAATTATGATTAGAATATTAATCATTATTAGGGATTTAATATGTGCTTATACATTTAACTTAGCTAATTGTGTAATTTTTTTGTATGCACCAATCCAGTTAATGCAAGAAATAAAATTTGTTATTATGACTAAACGCGTTAATTAAGTTCTAATTAAGATCTGTTTGTGTTTAAAATAATCAAAATTTTTACATTTAAAATAAAATAAATATACATTCCGGTGTTGAAGAAAGAGAAAGCGAAGATGCTAAGTGCAAAAAGCAATATATGAACAGACATTCATTTGTGTGCAAGCCAAAATAACTGTGCAGTTTTCTGACATACGTTCATAAGTAAATTTGCACATGTAGCTTGCGCAAGCATAACATATATATAACAATACATATATATAACAATACTTAACAAATTTATTGAACGTATATGGCCGGCTTTTTTTCGCTTTATCATTGAGATGCATGAGTGACCTCGCAGTTATTCAAATTTCACATTTGAAGAGATTATTCGAGTTTTGTTAATACATAATGTATAAATAATTATATAAATGTTTAAAATGTTAAAAAAATGTTAAAAAAATTTATAAGCTATGTTAATAGAAACATTTGAGATTAGGTTATAGAGATAATAATTGATTATTCTTAAAAATATCTTTCATTAATTATTAAGAGATATATCATTCAACTAACATCTAAATATACATATACATTACAAATTATCTTCAATTAAAATTAAATTTCGATTTAATTGCAATAACAAAAACATGCAGATTTTTTAAAATATTGTATAATGCGTAACTTCTGAAAAACTTACTCCATTGCTCGACATATCTGGAGAAACGGTGTGTTTCAGCGCTAAGACATGGCGTGAAATCAAAGATACACTGAGAGAAAAGTATCGAAGTATTATGAAGCAAATGTTACTTGCGAAATTTGATTGTGATGACGAAATATACATTTCTGTGAAATCTATCTCATTAATTGGAAAAAAATAAAATTAATGACTTATTTGTTAGGAATAAAATTTTATTTTGCCCATATTTAATAATTAAATAAATATTTCAGTGAAATAAATATATTTCTCACAAATATATTATTAGGCATCTTTTTCTCAGTGTACTGACGATCATCGCGATTACAAATTTTGTATGCGTGAAATGATTCATCAATTATAAATATAAATATTATAAATATTATATAATATAATGTCACACGGCGCGTTTACTTGCAACATAATATAATACCGTGTAATAAAATAATTTTTTTTGTTCACACGTAGAAGACTCAAAAATAAATCTGTCTACAAAAATAGAGACAAAATGCAATACGGGCGTACGTGTCGTCCCGCAATATCAAATCATTTGTGTTTTTTACGCACATTTGAAATTGTATACACATTTGAAGAGATTATTTCATCTACGGTGTAAAATGAAATTTTGCAATTGTTTGAAAATCATACGTTTTTATATAAAATTGGTCGCTAAATGAGAAAATGATAAAGTTAAAGCGGTTGAAGTAAAGCAAAATGATGAAAATATGTATTCTTAATTTTAAAAATTGCTCAAAATTTTCAAATTTTCTACAAAAGCGGTTATGAGCGCATTTCCCTTGAAGTTAGTTGTATACATGATGCAGGTAAACATGGTGTGCTCGTAACTAAGACAAATTTGCGCATAGCAACGCGCTGACCTCATTTTCAACGCCATTTTCAACGCCATTTTACAACATATATACGCACGGTTATTATATGATTTGAAATGATTAAAAAATATATTAAATATTAATTGAAAAATAATAAATAATAGTAAAAAAAATAATGGATAAGTAATTATTTACTATAAATAAGTGATTTTTTACTATGTGAAATTGTTATAGCAGGCGTATTGAAACAAAATTTGCCAAAAAATGGCGAAAAAAGGTCAAGCTCTGATTGGTTGCAGCAAATAAACATGCACAAGAACATATCATGTCTACTTGCATCATGTGTCGGGACCAAGCATTGCCGCAGAAGCAACACCAATGAAACGTCATAATCACAAAGCCATGATCATAAATTTTCGTCCCGTCGAAAGATTGCGATTAACGTCTTATCCTTATGACTAACCAACGGAAAGACAGTCACATGTAACTTATCGCTTGCCTTGTAGTCAATCAATTTATCGCTTTTTATTGTCCTACGATTACGACTACGGCCGGTATCCATAATCCGTTCTTAATATCAAAACCATCTCAAACAATGTCTTAAGATGCTAATACGATTTTTTTAATTGGTTCATGACATCTCAAGCACTAGCTTAAGATCATGTCAAATCATGAGCAACGTCTATGGATTCCACCTTAACTTTTACGTGCAATGGTTTTAAGGCCGCGGCTCGATTCAGGCTTACAATGCTTACGAATCATGGAGCTGTAAACGCGGTTATTACCAATTTTTTGGATTATAACAGAACTGAAAATTATAAAGAAGTTGTAGCCAAAATGATTATTGCATTCGTAAAAAAAAAAATAAAAGTCAACATGTTGAAAATCTATTTTTTGCACAATTATTTGGATTTTTTGCCCTACA